CCCCCCCCCCCCCCTTATATATGGATTCCTCGCGAGAAGATACGACGCGACGTCATTCGTCATTCGAGGAAAGGAGAGGACAATGTCAATTTCGCAGGCGAATCGCAACGTAGAGAATGAGACCCGGGTTGTGAGCTGTCTCACCGGGGCGGGAAACCGCGAGTTGAAAAGATAATCGTCCATAAGATACGTGGCATGGTAGCGTTCGTCGAAATTATGCGGTATAATTGCGCGATTCGATCGAATGGCGAAATGAGGTCGACCGGAATAGAGGTCGTCGCGTCTCTGCGGCTCACCTGAGAATCGATCACCTGCTTTTAAATTATTCAGCGCAAAGACCTTTGCGCGACACGAACACACATTTCCGTAGGTATTTCCGATCCACCGTGGACCGGTATAAGCGTTACCACTTATCCACTGGGTCGCATTCCACCTCCACCAGTATCGCAGGATGCGCCTTACACCTAATTACGAAGGATATAGATACCGTCTCTATTTCCAGCTAACGTCGCGCGAGGCCCCGCTCCGTGTCTGCGACAGGGTGTCACGTGGCGATAAATAAAGAAGAAAAGAGAGAGAGAGAGAGACACTCGATATTCGCGCGCAAATTTCCCCCTTCGCTCTCGCGTGCGACGCGGAAACTCCGTTCCGGTTTGCGCTTTGAGGAGAGCAGAAGCGTGTTAGATTTTTGCTCGGCCAAACACAGACGCACGCATGATCGACACGTGCCGGGAATGAAGAATCGATCGCGCCAATGATTGGCTGGTCGCGCGTTGAAAACAGAAGATTTCGCGCGGAGAGACGGACGAAGTCGCGTCGGTCGTCGTCGCGATTTCCATTCGACGTCGTTTCGACCGGTTCTCCGGGAAGATGAGGAAAGACATCCGCGCGGAGAGGAGCGTGGGCCAAATGCGATTAATTTCCCCCCTCCACGCACCATCCCCTCACGTCTCTCTTCTCCGTGATCGCGCGTGAATCATATCCGCTCGAGACGTTTCTTCACTTCGTCACGACGTGCGTTGATCATCGCGAAACATCATGCCGGAGAGGACGCGAGAAACGAGCCCCCCGTTCAACCGGCTCGATGCCGCCGCGAGGGTACCACGCGCGATCGTGCGCGCGGCCGCGGGAGCCTCGGGGAAAGTCGAGCTTTCGCGACCGAGAGGCAACCACCTGTCAAACACTTGTCACAAGTTGTTTACGCGGGTTTCGTCCGAGCGCGGATTCGCTCGCTCGCGAGGGATGCCCTACGCGGCGGCCGAGAGTGGCAGGCGCGCGCGAGCTCGCACGCGATGACAGCGCGCGCGACGATGGCGCGCGCGGACGGTCGCGGGGATCGCGTCGAAGGTGCTTTACTTACGCAATCGTGGGGACGATTGTGCTGGAGCCCTGCAGAAAATCCGCTTCCCGTAGTCTGATCCGTCCTGCCGAGGGAAACAAATATGGCGGTGCGACAGCCGCTGGAGCTGCAATAGCTCCACCTCGCAGTTGCCGTATTGTACCACAAAATCAATATCACACGTTGCTACCAACACTACCCATCGGCCGTTTCCTCCGTCACGAGTCAGCCAGCCAGCCGAGCGGACCAGCCGAGAGCGAGCCAGCGCGACACGCACGCACATCCGCGAACACCCACTCATCGCTCGAGAGCCGCTCGATCGCGAGGCCCGCTCGCTCGCGCATTCTTCACTCGCCGTAGCGATCGGGGAGTCGACGAGAATACGGCTTGATTACGATCTTCGGTCTCGTCGCAGTCCTCGGGCGGTTCATCGGAGCACGTGTGTTCATTTTCACGCGGTGTCGTTAATTCAGCCCGCGATCGAGACCAGTGTTGCATCGCGCGCCGTACAGCTCGCAGCCCCCTCCTCCCTCTTTCTTTTTTCTCTCCAAGAGCGTATTTGCATCCACTCGTGCGCGCCCATTCGCAGCCATAAATAGAAGCGGCTTCCAATATCTCCAATAATCCGACCCTCCGCTTCTTCCCCGTTTCGAGCTCTCCGGTGCGAAAAGGTAGCGGCAGGAAAATCGGGCTGATTGACCCGTATAGAAATTTTCCCAGATTTCCCCGCGCACAGCGTGGATTCCGAATTATAACGTCCGGAATTGTCTCAAACAGGATCCGTTTATTTACTTATTTATTTATTTACTTACTTATTTATGCGGGAATCGTTCCTTTCTTGGTGTAAGCTAAATATATTTTGCCAGGGAAGAAATCTACATTGATAATAAAAATATATAGAGGAAAAAGGAGGGGAGGAACCAAATTGCTGCGGAAACAATTTTAACCGCAATAATAATAAGAATACGAAAGAAGAGAATGGAAAGTAATTCATGAAGAGCTTGAGTTCAAATGTTTATGTTCGCCACTTGGAATCGTTTGATACATTATACTTCTAAAGGCAGGTCCTACTTAACGCTCGCATCGACGGAAGCGTCATACTATCTTTACTTAACATCCAGCGAGAAACAAGGATAGAAAACGCTCGTTGCGAGCGTTAAGTGGAACCCGCCTTAATTAGAATCCGCATAGACATCCCAGCTAGAATCCATCATTATTTTAAGGAATCGGAACTGGATCGCAATTAGGCCCCGACAGAAATTTTCTATATAGAGATACGAATTACCACGATATATTTCAAATACGCTTTATCCTCTGTTCTTATTCAAGAAATTTTCATATATTTTCTTTCGTTCAATATCGCCAAGTCGCCTAGCGTTAGTCGCAGCGTACTCGTTGGAATTAAAGTCTCACGATAACTTACGCGAAGAGGAAAGTATTGATTGTTCTTACTAATTAATCAGGCGCAAGTCAACAAGCAAGGCTTACAGCCCGACACAGAGTCATCGTTGAATGGGATTATCGCGAAATCCCAAGCCGTGTGATCGAAACGGCTGCTATTTCCGCGTGACTTTCCTACTGAGTAAGCCAAATTTTTACGACATCCCGTCGTTTCGCATTCGTGTTGAAAAGTAAATCACACAGCGCGCAGCAGTCATAGATGCGCGTGAGAAAAAAAAACTTCGATAATTTCTCCTTTGATGCAACGCAATAAAATTCGTTAATTACTCATCGTCGGAATGCTTTTACATTGCAATTTCATCAAGTTCTTTGATGTCTCCTATAATTGTATTTCAAGCCTGTGACCTTGTTCATTCTGTATCAGCGGTCAACGCATGCACTTCTATCGACGCATGAAGGCTTTTGAGAGACTTGTCGAAATAAAAAGTCCAGCCGTTATCGATTCGTGCGAATCTGGCAAAATTAACAAGGATCTGGCAGTGTCATTTGTATCCGATGTGGCACAGGATATGAGAGCGAGGGAGCGAGGAAGGGAGAGAGAAAGGCGAGTGTGGAATTATCGGCGGCGGAGGAAGTTGGCCCACATTTCGGTTCATTGGCTGTCGGCCAATTTTCCGCAGGACTGCCAACGAGGGGTACAAATCTCTGGAGCCACCCTCGGTTATATCGCTAAGGTCAACCCGTCTCACTATGCCACTATGACACCTCGTGCCGTACCGGCGGCAAAGAGAGATAATACAATGGCGGCGCTACTATTGCCTGTAGAATGACTCACGTTTTCATTCACAGAAAGCCTCGGATAAATGGAAGATGATAATGGATGATGATGGTCAAAATAACTTGCAATGGCAATGTAAGCCTGAGCTTTTCTTCAATAACCGCCAACGGTATTTTTCGTTTCGATATTATGATGCCGTAAAGAAATACGATTCCTTTTTACTTTCACCTCTTTCACGTGATTACCGGATAATTGAAAATTAGAATTCTTCGTGAATTATTATCGTTGTATAAAATACCAGACTTCCACAACTCTCAAATGCTTCCTCTCCGCATTTTCTAGGAAAGGAGAAGATGACATTTAAATATACATATGGAAAGATAAATATATATTTTAATTATGTTTATATTTATACATAACTCCACAAACTCATCAAGATATTCAACTGTTTAGTTTGTGAGTTACTTTTTATGGATTATCTCTCTTTTAACATCAACCTACGATATAACATTAGTCTCGTGAACCTTACGATAGGAGAAACGAAGGAACGAAGCTGTTTTATCGCGAATGAGACTCGTATAAGGAGTTTTCAAACTTCAATCTACCATGACGTCTGGCCACAGTCCCCTAAATTGGCGTTAAGAAAGTAGCGTAGACGTGCGCCGAGAAAATTGGTTTTTCATTCGCGTTTCTACATCAATTCGTTGGCGAGTTACGGATCTTTGAATTTTCGGCTCGTTCGGTATCAACGAACGTTGCGCGCTTGCAGGATGAACAACCCATGATGATTTACGTACGTTACCACGTATCATTTTCCACGTCAAAACGCACCATACTTTTTCGAAATTGATAGCATGGAAGCCAGCTTTGAACTGATTAAACGAATGTGTGTTCACATATCAACTTCCATGTCAAATCGAATCATGCTTTTCGAAATTGATGAAAGATAGTTTTGAACTGACTAAATGAATGTGTGTTTATCTCCAAGTGTACCTGTACTATGTGTACTACATAGTATGTCTTATCTTGCACTTTAGGTCTCATAACAAGAATAAGGACTTCTGGAAGAATTACTACTGAATGTGAGAGGAGAAATATTTAAATGTTTATAGCTTTTGATAGAAGCATTTTTCAAAGAAATGTTCCAGATAAAGTTTACTTGTTTTTTCCATAGAATCCAAATATGGGAGGAACATTTTATGGGAGGTTCTATTTGAAATTACAAAGTTATCTCCGGATCCCTTTCAAGAGGGAGCGGGGGAGAATTGTCGTTTACATAGAAAGACCCCTCGAAATCAAACAAAAAGTAATCTCTTTGACAAGCCTTTCCGCACGCGTCCATGCCGCTCCTTTATCGCTGATTCAGGAAAGTCGAGCATCATGATTGATTAAAACACGATAAACATACACGTATAATTAAATATCTTTAAATCCCGTTGCGAAAAATACGGAAGACGTCACATATTAATTTTTGGCGATGCAAACACGTTCGTATTTATTCTACGTAACGTGGAGGTCGCAATGCGATGCGAGAGAGACACTTTTATTTACCGTTTGCGAGCGAAATTCAATTTCTCTAATTAAACTTAAACGTAATTGAATTTGATAACAGCGAAATACAGAGCCCGCGTCCTACATTTCGCTGTCGTCGCGAGATATATCGAAGGGCATATACAATAAACCAGCGTTTCTCGTGTTAATCGAAGCCGCTGCGAGTCGATTGACATGCTTCTTAATAGCGTTTGCACAATTTAGCGTGCGACGTAACTGACGGAAGCTGCGTCAGGCGATAACCGATGCTTTCTTCGTTGTCGGCGGCGAGATGAATATTGAGACACCGTTCGACCGGTCGTTTCTCTCCTGTACGTCACTCGAGGAGTAATAATATCTTTTCGCGTCATCTGAGAAAATAGCACTTGGAAGACGCTAATGAATAAGCACTCAAAGTAAGTTTTCGTCGCCTGTAGCCGTCCGCACGTGCGATACATCCCGTGCGCACGATACCTCTCGAAAATTTCTGTATCTTCCCCGGAATTTCAGCGAGAGGCTTAACTTCGTTTTCGTCGACTTCATCACTGTTCCAAACTCCAACTAGACCAGAGCACTTATTGGCTTTTTCCGCCTTGAACCTCGGAGAGCATCGGCACTTGGCCGTTAGACAGGGGGAAAGTGAATTTAACGTCTAAAAAAGATCGCGTTTTTTCTTACTTTGTTATCCCGAACAATTTTCCAAATAACGAATAACGACTTTTCCGAGACCTGATTTTATTTCTCGACAACAATCTACGAATATGATTCTGCGAAAGTCACAAATATTAGCACAATTCTGGAAAATTCGTAAGATCCAGGCTCCGAGAAGAAAGATTAGTTAGTTAACTAACGAAATAACGTATTGTTATATCAAACACGATTCTTATACCAAAATCCATTGTTCGGTATAAATTCCTCTCACATCCTTTGAGGAACAATTCCGAGAATGTATTCGGGATTAAGGTACACGCGGGTCATAACGGCGGAGCAGCTATAATAGAATCTCTGTTATTTCCTGCCGGTTGGGGAGGGGGGACCGGAACACAAGAGTGAATCAATGACTCCACCACCTTCGGCTCTAGTTTAATTACTAGTTAAAACAACTCTAATGAAATGGAATATCCCTTTGTTGCGAAGAAATATCAAATAATACTGGAAGATATGTAATCATGTGTGTGTGTGTGTGTGTGTGTTCGTGCTGTTCTTGATCTACAAAAGGAGACATGATAAATTACGTTTCGAATTACATTCTTTATATGTGCGTTAATGTTTTCAATTATACACGTATGTAAGTAACGCGCATGCACACGTTTAAGTTACAGACGCACAGTAAAAAATTTTATATCAAATTTAATACATTTCACATGTCTCAAACGGTCTACACAAATTTTGGTGTTAATTTGACACAAGGCGCGTATGTTGAAAAGTAATACGAATATTATGCCGATGATTAATACAAAATTAATACCCATAATATATTAATCGACACTGTGAAATATAAAATGTGTCATTTTAACACTTATACACTATCAATATCAACTCAACACAAATATTGAGATGATATAAACACAAAATATTAAATTGACACAAGGACGGTTAAAAATGTAACAGCAAAATTCTAACAGTGGCCGATTTTAACAGAAGTTCAAAATGTCTTTTTACTGCGCGGTAATGTGCAGCTTTTTATACAGTACATCGCACGTACAAAGTTCAAACACTTTATTTATAAAAAATGCCAACCTCTCTCTTTCCTGAATCACATTATGCGCCATCAAACTCCTCCCCGCTACTCTGTAATCACGGAAAGTGAAGATTTAGAAAATAATCTCAAATTAAACGAGGTTCGTTACGTAAAGCGAAGAAGAAGAAGAAGAAGAAGAAAACGCGGGAGAAGAGAAAGCTTCGGTATCGTTCGGAACGAAGCTCGCAGGACAGTTAAAGCGATATAAATCGCTAAATAGCGAGCTATCCGGCGGGCAACACCAGCGATAAATCGCGAGCGAAAGGGAGGGGGAGTAACGCTTTTCGAAAAAGAAGCGCGAGGTGATCGGGGCTTACGGGGGCCGCCCCGGACGTCGACGTGAAGCGGCATCGTCGTCGCCGTCGGTGGAAACAGCGGAGACGACGGTCGATGCCGCGAGATGCCGTCGCGGCGCTGCGGTCGCTGGAAAATAAGCTCGCCCGAAAGCTCCACCGACTGCAGTAGCCCGGCATCCGTCGGCGCCGCGGCCAGGACGAGAGAGAGTTTGCATGTGCGGATTTCGTTCTGCCGAAGAAAGACTGCCGATGGAAGCTCGTCGCTGAAGGCGCCCGCTATGCGGACCCCATCCTGATCTACGAATCGCGGGACGACACACTATTTCCTCGTCTCTTTCCTTTCCTCTGCCTCTTTCTTTCTCCCTCTCTCTCTCTCTCTCTCTCTCTTTTCTTCTCCTTCGTATTATCTCTCTTTCTCTTTCATACATATACACGCACACACATACCCCGGTCGCGGTTTATCCACCCTCGGCAGCGGCCAGAGCGTCGTGACGAAAGCGTCGCAGTGGTTCGCGTATCGCGAGAACAAATGTGCACGGTGGACAACAGTGTGACATAGTGCGGCGAAGTAGGAGACGAAGGGATCGGCAGGAGGGCAGGGGAGCGAGGAACGCGGGAAGAGCAGCAGGAGGTGGATGACGATGAGGGGACACAGGAAGAGGGCGCCGAGCCCTGATGAATTCGCATCTTCTACATAGGGGGTACCGTCGCCCGCGTCGACCCCGCCGGGGGGAGGGTGGGGGGGGGGAGAACCGATCGAGCTTTCTCTGCGTGACACGCACCGATTCCGAGCTCTCGGGCTCGAAATCGTCTGGGATCCAGCTGCGCGCTCGAGACGCCTCGGCGGAATGGAACGGCTCGGGGATGTCGCGAAAATATCGAGGTTCCCCAGGAGGGTCTAAATTTTCGCGGGGCCGTGCGAAATCCATTTGCGAGTAAATGCTCGAAGAACGTCGTGCGGGAATTACTATGCCTCCGCCGGGGGTGAGTTTGCATCGTACTAAAGGAGAGCTTCTGAAACCGGCCGACCAGCCTGGACGGTGAATCCGAAACTTTCGTTCCGATAATCGGGGAGAATAGCCGCTGTTATTGATTATTTTCGTGGTCGTCGGCTGGTTCTGCGATCGTTTCTTCATGCGACGCGAAATTATCTTCACGAAAACTTGACTGAAGCTCCGGCTAATGAACGTTTGTATCTTTAAAGGAATCTCGGTGGACGTGTGCGTGAATACGATAGCGGGATAGCCGCGCGGATAAACTTCCCCGTGACGCTGATGATTCATATCGGTGTGTTTCTTTAAGAAGAACGTGCTACGTTCGCGAATTGTCTTTCATATTTACGATTATAATCGATAATAATTGCAAACGGTGATCGCGATGATGTCATAAGGTGTGCCTTCGTAATCACTTTCTGGCACGGATCGTTAACGACTTTGAGATATTCGCGACATTTGTAATACCGTCTCCCTTGAAAAATGTAAAAAATATATCAGACCGAGGAAAGGTTAGATGTCTCGTGCTGTAGAATAGGATACAACCCCGCGATGTAAATCATGCATCAGAAGTGCAGCGAGCGTAGGAAAAGTTGTGTCTCTATAGACAACTTTGGCGCACGCCGTGAACGTGGTAGTCCTTTATCTTGGATTAAAAGTTGGAAGATTAAGAGTCTCTCGAATTTCTCAGTAAGATAGGACAGTGAGACAATGAGATATAAGTAAATTTGCAAAGATAAATAGCGATTCCTGAATTCTGGGGCCCACGAATATTGTTATCGCGCGAATCGACGATTAATAACTGAATAAGTTATTAATCGAAATCATAAAGGAAGGACGGCAATATTTTATAAATATCAAAGTTGCTCGAGCAACAATTCGTTGTTTGAATTGTGTTCAAATTCCAAACACAATTCCAAACACGTTCAAACTCCAAACTCCGTCTTGTTTGTCACAACATGTAAAATCCCTTTCACTGGCCGCTTTTTCTTTCTTAATGATTAAAACGCATTAGCTGATCTTATTTTAATAATATATATTGACAAAACATTAACTGCGCAGAGAAACGCTTATTTTCAAGCTCTACTGCAAAGGACGCCATATAGAGTCTGTAATCTCTTCGATTAAACGACTCCACGTGAACTCACATAAGCTTGCTTAAAGTTCGGTATAAGTTTTATCTTTATCGACCCTGTGCGACGTATATAGCAATTCCTGTATACATTTATATACGCACATATATACACACACACACACACATATATGCACACACAAATTATGACGATAATCTATATTAATAAAATACAATGATATAAAGCATTTCGCGTTTTGAAGCACTGACCAGCCTCAATAACGGCCGCGCCGTTTCATTTCGCTTCGGGACGTCGGCGAATCCGGCAAAAAATTCCACCGCATGAATGAATCTCTCTTTGACGATCGAGCGATTTAATAAGCGATTTCATCCCGATATCAAAGGCGTGTCTGTGAATTTCAGGGAACAGTCGCGAGATTTAGCCTCCTTGATTTTCCTTACGGATCGGCACGTATATAAAAATTGAGCGAGTTCGTACAACAGAGCGGAATCGATGGCACTCACCGGCGTCAAAGTAAGGAATTGTTCGCTGCGCGAATATGACGAAGACCGATTTATACGACCGGGCTTTCTCGCGAATGCTTCGCATTGTTCCTCGCGTTTATCTGTAACGAGAATCGAACGATCGCGTCGTTGTGCCGAAAGCCCGACGGTGCTGTGTCGCAGACTAAGTTGCGAGAATGCGTAGACAAAACGTAATTGTTTCACATACACACACACACACACATGTTGCTTCCTGCAATAACCTTTACGTATTTAGAGCGGCCGCTGTGAAGTCATAATACCACGCGAGACCGGGTCGTGAATATTTGAAACGCTCGGTTTTAACGGCATGCTTATTTCAAACGAATAAACGGGGCAGCCTACTTTCGACGGCTGGCTACGAGTATTAATTCGGCTTGAATCTTTCGTCGCATCAGCTCGTCGATCTACTCGGATCTCTGCCTCTGATGAAGAGAGGAAAAAACCGGAATGAGTATTAAATATACCGCACGGAGATTAGTTGATCTTCGATTGATAAATACGATGAAAGAAACGTCACATTCGCACGCACCGCTGACAGTATTGATTTTACCTGTCTCCGCTGGCATATTCTTTCCGTGCACGTGTGTTGTTCAGCTGCAAAGTAACGCGCTGAAACACCGTGTACACACATGCACACACACACACACACACACACACATATAGATATACACGCGCGCAATCCGTTATTAAAATTTACATTCTTTGATCGTGCGGTCGAATGCACAGCCGCAAAGGAAAAATGTTTAATCGACGCGGCGTACGTCGCTTCGGGCGATCAAGATAAATGGCTTTTTGTTGCACAATGCAAAGTTTACAAAGAACGTCGCTTGTGGCGGGAGCATTCCGGTGCATATTATCCCTCGGGAATCCCCGTGACAGGGTCTTCCCCGGCGAGCGCGCCGCACACAGACGCGCGTGCACACACAAGGAAAGCTCGAAACAGTCCGCGGATCCGCCGCGGAAAGACGGAAGACAAACCACTCGAGAATTGCCCGCAGATCGTTCCTTCGTCCCTTCGACGTCCGACGTGACGACGAGCAACGAGCACGCCGAGGGCGACGACGACGAGGACGACGACAACGACAGCGACGACGACGACGTCGCTCGGGAGCCTCCACGTAACCAGCACTGCCGTTTGTTCTCCGAGATGGCGGACGAAAAGGAGAAGCAGACGTTCGTGCAGAAGCTGCTGTTCTACACGACCGCGTTCTTCATCCTCCTCAGCACCTTCAGCCTCTTCGCCTTCCTCTTCTTGGTCCCCTTCGTTATCGACCCCGCCTTCACCACCATCTTCATGCAGTTTGACACTCGACCCGCCGAGTGCGTCACCATCGACGTTGAGTCCAGAAGAGGTGAACAATCGGCACCCTTAATTCTCTCACCCGTTCTCGACCCCTCTCTCGTTGTCTGTTGTCGCTCTTCGCTGCATGCTCCGTTGCTGATGCGTACACCACTGTGGGTGCTCTCTTCCTCCTTTTTTCTCTCTCTCTCTCTCTATCTCGCTATCCGTTCTTCTCTCTGCGTCCCCAAGGTTCTTCTCCCTCTTCGTGTGCAATTAATGAAGTTACCTGACGCATTTTTCATTTTTCCGTGTTTATATATGGTGTCGCATGCGTGTCCTCTTGGGTAAGAATGTATATACCACGGTTTGTGCTTGTGTGTATGTATGTGGAGAGGATGTATGTACATATGTAACGAAGGGCTGTCTTTGAAGGAAAGGATCGCACTCGTAAACCGCGTTTCCCTTTCCTGGTAAAGAAGAGAGGTGTACGCGCGATTTTATAAGAGGATACCATCGCGTCGGTAGAAAATATGGTATTCTTTTTTAAGGATATCTTGGGGGCGTGTGTGCGTGTGTCGTAACTTCGCACGAACTTCATGATATTATCGAAAAAAGTGACGAAGATAATGACAGGGGCGGACAATAGGAATTGATGTTAATTTCGACGTGCCAAATTAGGTCAACGTCGAAATATACGATTTTCATGAATGATTGGAAAGGCTATTTCCAACCGAACAAAAATGACGAGGAACATCCTGTACGGGACAGCTGACATTCTCGTGTTTGATTTAATATTCAACGTATCGTTATATAGCCGGTATATAAAAGAGCATCCGCTTCCATTTGTTATTGATAAAGTTCCAGAAATACCGAGCTCCATCGCGAAAGTCTCGTCGCGACGCCTCGTGCTTGTAACTTAAAAAATTAATAAAAGAACGAAACAAAGGGAAAAGTTATCCCGTCGTGATTGCTCCATCTTCCATTCGTCACGTGGGAAATGCTACCGTCCCGACTCACCCCGGAGTATAATAAATTCCACGGAGTGAGATTGTAACAAAAAAAAGCCTATGAATTTTTTATTCCCCGATGGCACGGCATTTGGCTTTCATATCGTGCCGTCCGCACGTACGAGAGCACGTAACATAAAAGTTTAATATTATCTTATAAATTTTAATTTGCCGTTTGCGATGGGTATCAAGATCGCGGCATGAAACACACCGGAAAACATATTCGCGTTTATATGTTTGAAAGTGGAATGACGTTTCGCATTTTTCGCTTCTCGTTTCGATTTGGAGAGCCTCCGTCGAAGAGATAATCTTTTCTTCCTTTTCTTTCTTTTAACGCTGAGAGTAAAGTTATTAACTTTTACGAGCCATTCTCGCGAGCGTCCGTCACATTTGACCGAAATTTAATTGCTTCTCCGTCCCCTCCTCCCCCCTCCCCCCGACGATACCAGAAAGAGACGCACGAAGGAAATTGGCGGAATCTCGAATATTCTTAAGGGGATCCCTGGAGTCGTCCTCATTTACTACAAATTTGTTGGTATTATATTCGTTACTGGTTGCACAAAAATCCTTCCGTACAATTACAATACGTTAGGCGAGGACTTGAGTTTATTTGAAAAACGAAAAAAAAGTTGTATAGCTTGTCAACTTTTGTCCATTTTCCGAACAAAGTCAACCGTCCTCGCCTACGTAAACGTGCGTATTGTAATTATATAAAAGGCTTTTTAATTCTGTGCAGCCGATATATAACGAGTATAGTACTAACAAAGCTTTACTTGTGGTGAGGCAGGACGACTCCGGGACCCTCTTGAGCAACGTTCACGAGTGACGGTTTTATCACGCGCGACGCGAAATATGAAAGCGCGAAAATGTCAATCGATCATCGCTGGTCGAGAAAAGGGACGGTACAGCGGACCGAGATAAGATCGATGCAACTGGTGTCTTTGTGCTCTTAGTGCTTCCGCGACTTGCACTTATTCTAGCCTCCTCGGTGCTATCACCCTCGTCATCTCAATTCTTTCTCCTCTTTTCGCGAGACGCGTCAGTAAGATGCAGATGTTTTCCTCAGATCGAGCATCACGGCGGAGAGGAAGAGTCTCGTCAACATCACAGCGCGTTACATCACGGCGCAAAACACCCCCGGCGGTTCGATTTCTTATTTCAGCGTGTCTTCGCTGCCGCCAACGTCCCTCCGTACCTCTTCGTCCTCGTGCATGCACGTCCCCCCTCCGTTCGTTTCACGCGTTCGTTCCTGCCTTCTCGTGTTTTCGAGCAGCTATCTTCTCACTCGAGTGTTCACGTGAGAATTTGCAGTGGACGGTGATATTCCGGGATCTCGAGCCAATCATTCTTAGAAAGCTCGGGTTCTGAAGGACGAGTCGCATGGGTATCCTGGAAAGACGAATGAAAGGGAATAATTAGCCGAGAGTTTGAACATTTCTTCGTCGATTCGTTTCTATCACGAATAGTCCCCGTTGACAATTTGCAAGTCTTAAGACTTTCTGAAATTCACGAGAGAGTTTCCGCGCAAATCCTTCCACGCGCTATTTTCATGTAATTACCGGTGTGCCCATTTAACTGTGTCCGCACTCAACTCTCACATCTTGGTACATGAACTTGTGTATGTATTACGTGTATATACGTGTGTGTGTGTGTGTGTGGGTGGGGTTTTTAAAAAAATATCTATCACTTCTATATGTTCACGTGTGTGTATGTATGTGTTCGGTGTATATCCGTGTTGCGCTTAGATGAAAATTCGCGGCCGAATTCCATGAATGATCGTTGAGTCCAGGTACGAGCAATTGCTCATGGACGTCCTGTAGAGAGGGTTGTACTAAGGAGCTGTACGATTGCACGCAAATACGCGTCAACTATAAGCTACCGGGTAACGTGTCCGAAGGGTCGGATGAGGGAGGTGGAGCGGTAGGAGGTGTCGAGGATGACGAAGAGAGCAAGAAGATGCCGCGTTACGAGCGTTCCTTAGGGAACTTCGGCGAGTACGTCGAGGACCTCGAGGAGGAATTCGACGAGGAAGACGAGACCGGACTGCCGAAACCTTACCCTACAGGTACAAAGGTGTGACCAGCGCGGATTGGAGAACCGAGAGATGATTCGCTCGCGCGAATTTGATCCTCTGTCCCACCACCTGGCTCTACATCGCCCGTGTCAATTTTTCAAGAGCAATCACGTGGTTATATGGAGAGTACGGACCGTTGTAATTCTATACAATTGGTATTTCGCGTAGTTGGAAATATTGCATACGAATCATGTAAAAACATGAACTCCTGTTCTCCTCACGTTATCCAGTCGGGATAAAAATTTTCCAGCGAAATTGGTACAAACGAAAGGATCTATCGATAGCCAATCGTTAATAATATCTACACTGAGGAATCCATTTAGTTGGTTCTCATAATCCAAATTTTCGTCTCCACAATCGAAACATTTGTTCGCCCATTGACAAACGAGAATTTGGTTTTTGCTAATTAAATGAGTTTTTCAATATATGGACCAATAAGAGCCTAAGCACTTAATATTCTCCTCGCGATTTTACATATTGTCCAGTTTATCTCGTCAGAAGACGTCGCAGCATTGCGATCATTCCAAAATTCGCAATATATAAGAAAGATATCGTTCGAAGCAGATGCGGGCTTAATAGATGCAGTAGAGATCTGGCGGGCCTGAGGGGAGCGATAACTTTTATCCGCTTTCCGTCCGTCCAGCGAAGCTTCGCGATTTATCCCTGAATGGGAGAGAAGACTCGCGCTGTATTCGTCATTATACGCGGTTTTCTTTTGTCCTCTGTATACGGCTTGTTCTTCCGGTTCTCTCTCGGCTGGAAGGCGTCCGTCGCCGAACAATAACGAGGGGAAGTTCGCAGGTCTCATGGGCAACGACTCCGTGTGGTACTTCACCGGGGCCAAGCTGTTCCCCAACGTAAAAGGCTGTGGATACCCTCCAATGCTGAATTGCAGTATTTTCTACCGGCAGTACGCCAACATAGGGCAGAACTTTAGCTGTTACTACTCGAAAGTGGACCCCGGGATAGTCATCAGCGACCTCGACATGTGGCAGGTCTCTGCACTATTGTGTGTATATGCTTTCCGCGCGGGCTGCCCCTTCAATCCTCGTCTGTACGCGCATAGGAATACACACAAAAATATACCATCCACGCATCCACCTCATCTCTCATTTCGTCATCTTTCTTCGAATAACCCCTTCAAATTTTCGTCGACCAGTTCCTGTCGTCCTTCGCGATCCGCGGGCTGACCTGACTTTAGCTCCCGTAGCATTTTAACCCGCTGACCGGGTTATATACTTAGCGTTTTGCGCCCCCCCCCCCCCCCCCCCCGTAGTACATCGGTATGTACGAGTCACGCGAAAGTATTATGTGTGACTTTTGCCCGAGTTTACGCCGCGAACGAACGCGCACTTGAGAATCGATACTGCGACTGCCTATCGGGGACGTAAGGTGTATTATGCAGCCGAAACCGTTTTACGAGCGATTAAACAAACCCTCGGTGGTACGAAGGTTTTCCCCGGAATCCGTATCGGTCCCTAATTGGAAGCCATTCGCTCTCATCAATCGACTGTTCCTTTAATCGCGACTGCAAAGGCGATCGCTCCTGCAAAACGCCCCATCGATCGCCACCCGATGGATCCCTGCGAATTAATCCCTTGCGTCGGAGTCACGTCCCCCCGGACGTTCCGCTAACTTTCGCGAGCCGAAATCGTCAAGCACATCTCAGCACGTAACATGTGCTTCTGTTCCCTCCGAGCGTCAACTTAATGTAGTTGGTCCATAAATTAATTTTCTTCGGAGTTTTCGGTTTTCAGATTTTAACGGCATATTAACGGACACGATCTACACACGTATAAAATTAGAAAAAGATTGACCGAAGCTAAGATAATTTGAGTCAAAATTAACACTATTTATATGCATCGTGGTGTAAGATCGTTGACCACCTGATTCTCCAGAAATAAATATATGAAGTATATAATTTCTGACAAGTTGAAGTACAATGATACCTGTAAATATTTGGCAATACTGTACGCGCTATATTTTCCTTTGTCTCTCTCTCTCTTTTGGATAGGCATCTTTTTAAAGATAAAATGGTTAAATAATTTTTTAAAGAACTATAATCAATACATATGCATACACATATATATAACTACACGTAATTTGTTTTTTATATATAAATACATGTATTATAATTTATGTTACATATGTATTATATATACACGTAACATATGCGATAAATAAAAATGCGACAAATATAGGAAAATATGGAAAAATCCCACAATTTGTCTAGTTAACGTGCACTCGTACATTTCTATTGAGGAGGGGGGATACATATGATATATTTAGAAACATATGACAAACACGGCCCCAGCCCAAAAAAAGTATTATGCGTCAAGACACGAGAAACAGTTTTTTCATCGTGAGTTTTTAAACATTACGTAAATTTGATATCCTGTTGTTACGGCGTCGAAGCTGTATATCACGAATCGTGTTTACAAATATTCATCGTAGACATGTCGAATTGCTTCGTGTTGTGCTAACCATCACCCTCTTAACAATATTATTACGGGCCAACCACTTAAATAGACACGTACATCTCGCGCGAGCATCGATTAAATGCCGACGCAAGGGATTAATCGCCCTTAATCGGGCGTCGAGCGCGGTGTAACTTGGTCGTATTCCATTTCCCCGGTCACGGAAAGTGGCCTCCCCGCTTACTCACGACGACGGGAACGTGTCGATAAGTTGAGGGCGCAACTCATTTTCGTATCCGCGGCGTCGGAAAGCGGCGGCGGTCGTGGAAGTTACGCCGATGTCTCAGACGGATCTCGGCTATGACGCGCGAAAGAAGCGAGGCGATCGCGGAAAATCTCCCTTCCGCGCGGCGTGCTCAGCAAAATAGTGCTACGACGGCGGAAATGCGACCGTCCGCGCGCGCGCGGACAATGCGTTTCAAGCGGTTGAATGGGCAGCCGATGACAAAGACGGAAACCATCCGCGGCGCGCCACCCGGAAGAAAAGAAAATTTCTCCCGACGCGCGCGCACAGAAATCCAATTTCCACGGGCGTGCGGGCCGGCGATGCTATTATAAAGCGCCGATAACATCGACAATTCCGGAAAAGCTCGCCGCTGCTTGCCGATGCTACGAGCTCGCCGATCCACCGAACGAATGGACGACAGGAAGAAATAGGATCGCGTGTGGCGAGAGTAACATCGCGCGTCGGGTGTACTCTTTCTCCCTCTCTCTCTCTCTTTTTCTTTCTCTCTTGTGGGGATGCTCTTTCGAATTTACGGGTGGGTCGCCTTTAGAGGATTAGCTCAGCCGCGTCTCGGCGGCGAGGCTGCCGCTATAATGACATCGGGAAACGTTTCTGGCGATTCGTTCTTACGACCGTACTTACGAGACCGAAAATATTACCTAATTACTTCTTGCCAAGAGAGAAAGAGAGAGAGAGAGAGAGACAAAGAGAGAGGAGAGAGCATTACCTCCGGACGGTCGACTATGCACCGACCTCTACTACTTAGCGTGCCATGTACGCTATTCGTACTGGCGGCCGCTACTCGCTGATTACGTACCGCTGATTACGTACAGTTTTCCGCAAATAGCGACCTGCATCGAGCTTCCCATCGGATAACAGTCCCTCACTTGATCTTCTTTCACTCATCGATCATTGGCGATCGTGATACGGTATATTCAGGTCATCTCGAGATCGGTCTATTTCGGTCTATAACGTGTTGCTTTATACCGGTCGTTTGATATACAGAGAAAGAAATCTCGTTGGATTTGATAACGTTTCTTCAATTGAGACAGATTTGGAATAGAATAAAGATGAATTGGTTTTTTGGTTCAACGAATAGAGTTCTTTGGCTTTTCAAATAATAAATATCTTTACATCGAGTAATATGTTTCTTTTGTATTTTCTTCCGCTCTTTACAATGTTATCGCAAGCAACAAATTGTTTGAAAGAAATAATATTATGTTAGAAAAATACTAATGAACTTTTTTTATCTCAGTGGAACAATGCCTGATATACAATTAAATAGATTTTTTTTATTGAAAATGAAATATTATTTGCTCTAAATATTGCTTTTCCTATCAAATAACATGGTTTATTGAAACATCAACATTCTTATTCAAGCAAAACGGTATTTAATATTAAATTATGTTGTTTATATTAAATAAAAATAAAATAAGTAAGTCAAACAAATATATATACTAAAACCAAAGAAATCTTTTTCTCTGTGTATTCATACTAAATAGAAATTTCTATTAAATTATCTTTATAATTAACGCACGTTTATTATTTTTACGAAAAAAATAAATATTGCCGGTTTTAGCCGAGCACACGTGCATTTTACTAAGCATATTTTTCTACTTTTGAGAAAGAAACCGAAAAAAATCTGCGGAAAATTTGAGAAAAACTGCTCTTATCCGAGTCTTCAAAACTATAATAATCTTATTATTGACGTAAATGACGATAGGATAGTCGTGAAGAAGACGTACCATTTGAATACACCGTCGTTTACGCGCACCGTTGAAATAAAGATAATTTAATAAAAAGTTACTAGTTCGTACGCGTATTATATGATCGGTGTAAACGAGGCCAGTGGCGAAGGAATGAATAATTTAGGCTGTATAAAATCGCTGCTTAACACGTTGACTGCCACGAAACTTTTCACGATTCTGGTTTAAGAAGCCAATTTGATTTAATCAAGTAATGAAGCGACGAGATAACTCGTAGCTGGCGTCCTGGGCAAGTAAACAACATACGAGATATCTCGTAGTTGGCAGTCAACGTGTGAACGAGCGTCGAGCGTGATCCGCAAGCAATCACCCTCGATTAGTGATCACTTGGTCACAGTCTCGCGATCGAAATCTGGTCGTATGAAACCTCCTCTCCGAAGGTCACGCGTCAATGTTTAATCGAGCGGCATACACCGGTCGCATCTCAACCTCTGCCTTGAAACGCTCCCTCAGGTGTACATGAACCTTGTGTACGCGATGGCGATTCCGATACCGTCTTTCATAATCTCGGTGATATACCTCACCATCGCCTACTTCAAGATCTACAACGAAGACGAGGAGGTCCTTGTAGGCAAGGAAGAGGGCGAGGACGGGGTGGAAGGGAACGAGGGCAGTGGTACACCCTTGCCACCTACGAGCGGCGCATTAACGCCCGGAAGTGAAGCCTTCAGGGAGGATTTGGCGAGCTTCGGGCACCAACTCAAGGTCGCAATGGCCGACGACATCAGCAGGGAGAGCCTCGACGGGATCCCCAACTCGCTTTCTGTTCAGGGGTAAGCGTTACTTTGAAAATCTCGCGATATCGATATTAAGTTCTCGAGAGGTGAGCACGTGTCGCGACGCGAGGCGGCCGGAGGAGCCGTCGGCTTTGTTGCCCGTTCATATCTCGATTATTGATCGCTTTTGAGCGTTTACATCCTCGAGGACTCTCCTACGGCTTCGAGAGGGCTTTCCCGAGCGTTAACGGCAAATTGACGCAATCGCCTTAACCGCAATCGTCGGCGATTTAGAGTTATTTCCTAAGAATACTAATCTCTTCCGAGCCTCGATAAGGTTGCTTTCGCGTGACACGTCTTCGACACGGATATGCAAAGAGTATACAATCTTGAAGTACCGTGGTGCGCCATCGTATCGCGACCTTGAACCTAATGTACATCGAATCCCCTCATATTCTTCGCTTTTGATGTATATTCCGCTATATCGATACATTTTACGTTCCCTTCGGCTTCTCACGACTATTTCCCACAACTGAAACGCATTTAATTTTGTAAATTCAACCGAACTTTTTTTTCTGTGCATCACATACGATTCTATGATGTAATTTTTTCTTAATTTTTGAAATATGAAATAGATTATACGCGTAATAGATAATTCAAACATTTTTATACGGTTGGGGACAGGAATTTACAACTTTCTTATCGTTTACACACTCTCTCTCTCTCTCTCGTATCGGTCTTTGTAGTTGCGAGAAAGCATTTATGCCGTCGTAAGGGTAGTTCGGTCGTTTAAGTATTTCGCTCAGACGCAATAATTTTACGCGAGATATAAAGTCGTCTGAATGAACGACTGTGCTGTGTAGGGATAGCACACCGCATGCGTAAATGTCATCTCGACGTGTCCGCGCGGTTTATACGCTCGAGCATGACGTCGGCATCGCACGAGTATTCAGTCAATTTCCCTCGCGGTTTGCGGCGAACCGAAGGTGTTCGATGATCTAAGTGAATAAGCATTCATCGTATGTTCCATACAAAATTGATTAGTTCTGAACAATCGGGTCGGCTTATCAAGTTGTTCGCAAACAGCTTGCAAGATTCGCGTTCCTGTCGCCGTTCCGCCCGAAAAAGTGCGTCATTTGTGAAGTCATTAGGGAATATGTGAAAAAATACACAAATATATGTTAACAGCGATAGTGAAGCTTCGCGTTATCGGTTATTCGATAACCATCCGAATCATTTGTCAATCATCGCTCGATAGAAATAAATTGAATATAGGCAGTCATAATTTTTCTTGTTGCGGAATCGGAAAATTTCGAAAAAAAAAATATATATATACATATATATATAATTGGGAAAAGCATTGCAATTGCAAGTAATTGGAAATAGCAATATTTGGAATCAATAGCAAGGAGTAACTGGAGAATCAATGCCGAGAAACAATTCCGTGAATCTCGGCTCGAATTGATGTTTCGCCAAGTTTCATATCGCGAAAACTCAACCACGCGCATCTGACGACAATTCAGTCGACTTTTAAAAGTTGAGCCGCATTGCAGCTAAATCGTATGCAAATATATCGAGCTTCTGAGGATATTGTACGTAAAGATGTTTGCTAGAACGTGCATCTCTTCGATGACGTATCAATTTTCCGTTGGCCAGACCAATGTATACATGCACTATTTAACCAATTATTATTACATGGAAAAAAATCTTAGTTCATGAAACTAAATAAACATCAAACTGAAATTCGGTGACGAGAAAGTGATATCTCTGTTATCATAATCTATGCGATGACAGCCGCGAGCCAAAGTAAGTAACGAGAAGCATCAAGATCGAGATTTCGAAACAACCAATTAGCATTGTGGAAAATCGGCAACAATTATATCTCTTGTATGTTTTTTTTTAGAGATAGAATAGAATTGTAATTTCAGCCATCAACTACACAATAAAAAATTTTGTATTAAAAATGGTTCATCGAAATTCTTACTTACTTCAACATGGGGAATATGTTAAAAAACACACAAATATATGTTAAATTAATATATTCATTTTATTAACATATTACCTTTTTAACATATTTACCTTGTTAAAGTAACGCGAAAATTTCAATGGACCTTTTTTAACAAACAAAATTGTCTGCCGTATAATTTATCTATCCAGTTTCCAGGAAAAGTGAGCGTTACATCACTGGCTAGTAGCAACGTTATATACAAATTTACTACTTCGCGGCTAGAAATTCACGAGGTTCGATTTCCACCGGGGAAGACGTGTCTCTCCTAGACTGCATCGTAAAAAGTTGGCCTATTCGCGCGTGTATAATTTCGTTCTCGCGCTCGGCGGATCACAGAACCGCCTCTCTCGTTCGACGTATGAAGACGCACGTTAAAAAAAAAAAGAGAGAGAGAGGGAGAGAGAGAAGGGAAACTCGCGGAGTTGTACGTGAGAATGAAACCGCTGGAACGTGCACGTTATAAGTGACAGATCGGCCGTCGTTATTCCACGTTATACCGCGGCACGTGGATTACGATTAATCGCGCGACGTGCCGCGAATGTTGAAGCAGTGATCGGCGGAATTGGTTACAGAAATCCTACGAGGATGGATCGCCCGATAATATCCAGTGACCGACGGGAATTCCGGATCACGGCGGCGCGAGTCTCCGTATGATCGTCTTCGGCACGCTCGATCGCTCCCTCTCTCTCTCTCTCGTGCGACCATGTGCCTCTCTTTTACGACCGTCGAAGATCGCAGAAGCGCGGATAGAATGAATTCGCGATGAATGAAAATCGTAAGTTACAAATCACACGGACGACGACCCGGCGAGCTTCGCGACGAGAGATATTACGCGACGATCTCCGGGAGAGACCGGCTTCCTTCGACTCTTCGCATTGTGTTCCTTGCGTCCGATTAATTCTGTAAAGATAATTTGTTCGCGCGAAGCTATCGACGCGATGAAACGATGGCGCGGATAAGTGCTCTCCCGACCACACTACCGGCGCATCCATCTATAAATAGCGACTCGGGATGCAGGACGATATAGGTCGAATGGCTGCGCGATAGACTGCGAGTCGCCGCTGCTTCCTCTCTCTCCTTCCTCCACCCCATCGCCGTGTTCGATCGCATACACCGAGTAATCTATTTGAAATATCCCCGATTCATATCTACCATTCAAAAGGCCGCGACAGCGATCAGACGTCTCTATTTTTCCGTATTTTCGTATCGCGTCTTTCGACTTTCACGAGCGCAACGACGACACAGTGCGATCGTGCGATTAGGTTGTTTTTCTAATCTCGCCGGAGTGTGTGGTACATTTTTCTAAAGTTTGCACACATACACACACGTGTTCAAACATTCTGAAAGTCATAAACAACTTCCATTGTATATGTACATCGTGAAAATAACGGTGGATGTTTTTAAGCAAATAGCGCGTGCGGAGCGCTCCGAGAGCGCCCGCAAATCTGTCTCACCCTCAAAGAGCCATGTAACATTGTCTGACCCGTTACATTTGTCGAGGAAATATAATAACAAGTAGCTGCAAAGCTACTTAATACTTCGCCCTAGTTTGCCTTGCCACCCGTGTATCCCGGTGACACGCTAAGGCTAAAGGCGAAGGAAAATCGTAATCAATTATCGTCCCGTGATCCGGAAACGGTCGGGAAAAGTGATATTACATTGTATGTATTTGTAGAATATTCGTTCCCTCCTCCTCTATTTCAAAGTCCCAGGTTGTCGTCGGACATTTCCGCGTGTTAAAATAACGATGCGCGTCTCTCGTAGCAAATAGACGAGAATTTAAGAGAAGTTAATAGAAACTGACCTCGTGCGAGAATTTTAGTTCCCACAATTACGAAAAATCGCTTAGGAGTATTTGCGATTCTTTCTACTCGCGTTGCGCACACGAGTCTTTCAGCTCGTGCCAAGGTCAGGTGGCACTTTGTCATGACGATCGCATGCAATTGGACGAACAATCTTTGCGATCCCTCCTGTGTGAAAATTTGGCAAACAGTTAAGTTATTAATTAATTGTGGATGGAAGAAATTTTGATTCGTCATGTCTGAAATCTGCTGTTAAAAGTCAGGTTAGTTCAGGTCTCATTGGGAGAATTAAATCGTGAAAGAGAGGAGGGAAGAATTTTTGGGAAAATGCCCGAAAAACGACCATCTAATTATCGAAAGAGAGAGAGAGAGAGAGAGAGAGAGAGAGAAAGTGAAATGAGTTTTATTTTGATTAATTGGTTAATAATTATACCAGTTACGACTTAACCCTTATCGGTCGTAAGTTACTTCTCACGTGACAACAATACTTCGTCGCTGCGGTCGTACGTCACGTAGGAGGTGACAAGTTCGCATATTTACCGAAACCAGCTTCAACCTAGTGAGAATCACGCATAAAAAGCTAGCGTCCGATAAGGGTTAATAACGGTTACAAAGCAGCAGGTACGAAAATACCGCCCGTCGCTGAAGAGTACATACGCATTCGACGCACATGCACGTTTCCGTGCGGCACGAGTTTCGCACGTGTTCCCCGTGATCAATCGCGGAACGACGTCGGCAGGTAGCAGGTGGTAATACCTGCGGTTCTCGCGTTTATACGAAATGCGTGAGAGAGACCACTGAGACGAGGCAAGGACGCGAGCATCGATTCTGACCCGACAACCACCCACGCCTCGCCTAACTCACCCTTGCGTTCTCAGCCTTCTCTCCTCTCTCTCTGACTTTCAAACGATAGTCCTCGAGCTTACCTCCTTCGTTGCCGAATTCTCGCGGTCGCCTGCTCGCGAATGCTACGCGAGCTTATATAAACCGAGGTATTAAGGTCGTTCTCGCTCCGCGCGCACAGAGAAGCAAGTTTGGGATGTCAACGAAGCTTTGAATTCATGAGTGGAAATAATATGCGAAATGCCGAGGATGAGCCGAGGATCTCGAGTTGTGTGTTATGTGGAAAATAAATCAGAATATAAAAATATCGTCCCGACTTGAAGAGGGGAGAATGGCGTTCGCGCGGCAGCGTCGCAATTAAACGTGTAATTAAATATTATCTCGCGTGAACGATTCCGCATACGAGTCTCGTGTCGGAACTTGTGTCGAATCAGTTTGGAATTTATTAATGAAACTATATGCGTACAAGGATGATTCGTGATGATGTGTAAATAATTTCCGTTGTAAATAACGACTCGATGGGCGAGCGACTCGACTTTGTTCGACTGCACTTAAGAATATATTGCCCAAAATAATTGAAAAAATGATGAAAGAGTTACAAATTGACCTACATTGCATCTAAAAGTGACATCAAAAGTTTAACGGTAATTCAGGGCTCGGATCAAAAGTTATTCCACTTTAAAGGAAGTTTTAAAGTGAAATGAGTTTGATAAGAATTCGATGAAACTTGCACCGCGTTGAATTATTATCTTCACGTACATTGAAATATTATCTAACTCATTACTCGTGCAATTAGTAAAAGATTGACTATTCGAGAGCTGAGATATTCGTGATTAAAATTGATGACTTTTTGTCAGTATTTCTTGAGAGAGATTGGCGTGCTATTTTTAACTTCTATTTTTAATGTCTTCTAAACTAAAAATAAGATTCTAATAAAAACTGGGGTATATTAAAGACTGATATATAGACATTGTACGAAAATTTTAGAATTATTCTCGAGAAAAGAATTTTCATATATAATTATATATAAGGCGTTATACGGAGTGTCTCAGAGCAACTTTATCAAAGCTCATGGGAGTATAGAACGAATTGAGGTAAACATAAAAGTCCTATATTGTTTTGCGATGATCGCAATAATTATGGAGATATAAAAATCACGCGCCAAGCAACGATGGAATAACGTTCGCGAACGCTCGCTGACGGGAGCCTCTCACGTTTCTCGAACTTTTTCTTTGCAGAAACTTGAGCAAGACGATGACGACGAGTATCTCAACTCCCCCTGGGCCGACGGCGGCAGTCTGAAGCGTCATTTTCAAGGTCTGAATAATATCTCGTGGAGACCACACTAAGCGATATCTCGTCGCGTTCGTAAAAAACGAGAAACGTTACCACAGTGTTGTCGGATGAGCTTTGCTGACCGCGGAGGAGTCAAGTTATCTCTCTCTCAGGATCTCGACGGAAAACAAACAAAAAAAAGAACAACACCCACCCTCGCGATTTCACGGAGTGAACCAGAGGCACACTCGGTAGCCGAGTAACACACACGAATCGTGCGCGAATACACGGTGATTCGAAGGGAACGTTGACAAATCTCTGCCATTCTATCGTAAATCTGTCACCGTTGAAGCGCCGACTAATACCTACCTACTTACCTACCTAACAGATGATACGACGATATTTTGCGACACGGACTTTTTCCTACTCAATAATAGCTCAACTTGTACGCGAGTCGCGCGTATATATCGATGATTCTCTGTCAACAGCTCTCTCGCGGTCCCTCCGATCGCGCCGAGAGTCTTCGCGCTCGTACGCGCGTCCGAAAAACAAGTCTTTCGTTTCTTGCAACGTTAACGTCGGCGCGCGCGCTGTAGCCGGTTATTCCGCGTGCCGGATTGATTTACCTCGCACGATGCCTTCTTCGTATAGCTTGTCTAAGTGCGATTCGCGCTTCCGGAAGATCTGACTCGCGAATCATGTGCCTGTATCATCGCATTCCGCAAAAGGTGTGAAGAGTCTGGCCCAGTTGAGAGAAGGAACTTATCACGGCGTTCGTATGTGCGCGAGCGTTCGGGGGTACATTATATATTTTTGAACGATTTTCCACGACACGTCGCGGCGACGACGACGGCGGCGGGTGCGATTGTCCCGCGCCGTGAAGGAGGGAACGAATCTCAGTCATTTTGAAAGCAACATAAGTCCGAGAAAGAGAGAGAGAGAGAGAGAGAGAGAGAGAGTTCGAATTCTTCGGATCGCGATGAAGAGAAGCGCGCTCTGTTTCTCAGCCGTGGGAATTACATGTACATATGATATATAAATTCAACGATGAATTATGATTCTCGAATTACAACTGGGACGCTATTTGGGTGATACGCCGATTGATAAAGGACGCGCGTTGTTCTTACACATGTATACTTACACACACATACACACACACGTAAGAAACCCGTCGCTACTCCACGTTCCTGCGACATCTTATCGATTAATTCGACCGTATCGAACCGAGACTCGGGGACTCGTGCCGTTCTCAAAATGACCGACGCAAATTCTTGCAACGAAGCGCACACCGAGTAAAACGCTCCCTCTGGTTCACTCAACGATACCGAGCGAACACTCAGCCGGGATAGAACGCAGGAGGGAGGACGGAGAGGCGAGGCTCAGGCTCGCGCGGTATCACTATCTATATATTAAAAGTCACGAGTTTATCTATGGACTAAAAAACTTAATCAGTAAACTATACGAGCTAAATACCGTTAAATACGTTTACGAGTACTAACCAGGTAATTCGCTTGCTGTGTGATCATGATGCGTCCACGTCACGTGCATCTTAGACACTTTTATCAGACACCGACGACACACGTCCGTTCCACTTATTAAATTACTCGGCGACACGCTTTACGCAGATTACGACAAGAGGAAAGAGAAAAAAATAGAAATAAATAACGCGCGATTCGCAAAAGTCCACCCCCGCACCGTTGCGGCCTCGTCCATATACTACGATCTCCACACGCACAAATTCCAGCGTTTTTTAGGGTACCTGACTGATACGCTCGATGAAACGGTAGTAGGTACCTTTCGCGAGAAAGTCACACGACTACGCACGCATCGTTCAAATCAACACGCGAGTACACACAGAATGAAGAAACGTACGGTTTCCTCGTCGATACGAGAATGTTTCAGTAACAAAACCAAAACCGGAAATTCGGTCCGCTTGTTTTTAGGTGTACGCTCAATTACCGCTCTCCCTCTCTTTCTACACTGAGAACGGGACAATTAAGCGCCGTTGATTCGGAGATCGAAGCAAGGGGAGAGAAAAGCGAGGGTGCAACTAAAAACAACGGACCCCCCCTATCGTTGCTAAATTTTTTCAGTGTGCCGGTTTGTATCTCGACATTATACTTTTACAAGACCCAGCTACTCCGATTGTGGATAAGTTTAAATGGGTCATCGGGTTCGCCCCCTCGAGAAGCGAAGTATATTCGAGCCCGGGCGATTTATAAATCGTGACCTCGATATTATCAGTCGTAATGAGCTTCGTGCTACTCCTCAGACTTTGAAAGAACGGTTTTGTCTTATTATCGTCTCAATGTCAGCCGTGAACGCGATTAGCCACACGTTATGATTTTGTAAAGCGTTAAACGTCACCTGGAATATCGACCAAACGTTTGCCGCATGGAAACTGCTCCCTTCGAATATATCCGTGTAATACTTTAACGTGTCCAAGCGTCAAGTCGCGAGCATTTGTTTCGAAACTTCGAATACTCCTCCACTCTCATTCATATATTTTTCTCTCCCTCCCTTCCTTCCTCTCTCTCTCTCTCTCTCTCTCTCTCAGAATGGCTCTAAATTATTTGTAATTATTTACGATTACTAGAGCTACTTGAGAGGATATTAGATATTCCATGTGGCATCAAATCGGGCGAGATGCGAAGATACACATACACACACACGTGTGTATGTGTTCAATTATTGTTCGACTATTGGTTCACGTTTCCGGAATTCGTGCTGTTTCTGCGATCATACACATACACGCACACACACACTGAAGAATGTGCATACACCTATGCAACACATCACCACGAGAGGCGCACACACACATTCCACACACATCGGTAATCTATGGAAAAAAAAAAAGATAATTGAATTGTTTTTATGGATTAAGAACAAGTTGTCTGTGATCTACAATAATTAAAAGAATATTTAATAAGTATTAACAGATAAAAGTATAATTGAAATAATATCGATAATGTTGAATGATGGAAGGAAGAAAATTATCGAACGGAAGCGAACAGATTTTATTGGTATACAAGTTGAGCGCAGATTTCCCGAAGCATTGGTAGAGCAATATGATACAATAGCGCGAGAGGAATAAAATATCGCATTAAAAGTCACTGCAAAGGAATTCTAGGAGAAAAAAGGTATATTATATATAATTATAACAAATATAGAGACTTACATACGATAGAGCACGCAACGTCTGAAAACATTTTAAATCGCTGCTGTTAATCTGTAAACTAACTCGCGATATGAAACAAAAAAAAAAGGTGCGTGCTGCGTTCGGATAGTGTACCAATAAAAAAGAATATATATACATATATAAATATTATATATAGCACTTAACCGTCGCGGCTAAAAGTACATAGGGTTAGATAGATTTATAGAAGCGCAAAACACCAAAAATCGTTCCTTCCACCCGCTCCGGCCGTATATTCGATTATCGATTTTAAATATATCGCATCTCATACATGAAAAGTCAGAGCTCTGTGAATTTATAAAAGCGCACTCAGAATGCAATTAGCATTGTCATTTTACTAAAAACGAAGAAAAAGGATGAGGTAAAACACAAGAGAAATTATATATATACGCCTATGCCATCACCGAATAATAAGTTATTCAACGAGCGTTGCGAAAGATGTCCGAGATAATTTTTGTACAGTTCTGGCACACACGAAGAAGAACGTGTAACATCGTCGTCGTCTTTATATTTATGTACATTTCAATTATTATAAATTTTTCGATATTATTGTCGAACTATGATCGATTTCGTGTGAAAGTGTATATGGCTTTTTCTGCGGTTAACAATAAAATGTTGTCAAAGCTTTTTTCACGAGATATACATTTTATCATATTTCTTTCGCACCTCTCCTCAACCCCTTACCTCCCGGTCCAAGTATCTCGTCCTCGAATTAATGGTTTAATTATGCATTATATAATAACTTTATACATTATATAATACGAATATATAATAAGTTAAAAGAGAGATTAACTAATTATGTGTGATAGAATAAGTCGTAACGCATATCATTAACAAGATAATTCTTTGTACTTTTATTGAAATATGAAAAGCAAAACAATATTTATGAATATTTCAACGAGTTCTCTTCTCTCCTGACCACTGCGAAATGCTGTAACAAAAAGAAGTCGATTATCCTTATAAAAGAAAATTAAAATGTTCGATTAAAATTGAGATACCTCGTAAATCTCAGTAAATGAACGAATAATGTGTCATCTTTTATTCAGGACTCTAGCCTATTATCTCATCATTTCAGCTGATATGAAATTTTTCTTTTATACGCGTAACTCTTAATCATATTTTTCTCAGCGTTAAAAGGATGCACAGGAGCCAAAGGCAAATCCCGAATGCTGACTCGATCACGAGGGTTATTTTGTGCGCGTATTTTTTTATTTTCACATATACCGTCGCATAAATTGGCATGATTTTCCTCGCTTGTAATATTATCAAGGACAGCTAAAATGAGTATCCAGGAGTATCCTTAACATCATTAAACAAGGACAGCCACAGTGAGTAGTCTTAGTGAAAATAGTTCATATTCTGAATTCTCTTTTATCGGGAAGTGTTTTAAATGTGGCTTTTCGACCAATATCAACTCGCACTGTACTTTAACACCTCTTCTAATGTGACGTAGCCTCCTTTTTTTCCAAAAAAAAAATCGTACTTGCCTACGAACGACTCTCCTGATTACGAATATCACAAGTATATGGCAAAGATTTTCTTTGTAATTTGCTCATAATTTTTTATAATCTCTTTTTGTAATTGGTTCACATTTCTGAGAAATATCAATGTTAGTTAGTTTTGAAGTCTCTGCGAGAGGTTTCTACGATGGCTCCTGTGGATCCTTAACATTATTAATAATTCTGTTTAGCATATTAGTATTTCTGTTTGAGTTTATCATGGTTAATTATATATTATTAATAAGATTAGAACAATTGTTAAACCATAATTTTTTTTACCAAATATTGGAATTTTTCACAAAACAGAAAGGCTTTACGTTAATTCAAGAATGTAACGGAAATCTTACCTTTTCGCCAATTTGATGTCTTTATACACCGCGCAGTGATACCTGCACAAAAATAGATAAAAAATGATATAACGCAGACGATTGATTGACTGCAAGATATAATTCAAAATTTATTTCAGATAAGATTATGGTACACGTTGGAATTTGGTTAACATCAGGTTTCAGACCCGAAAGTTTATCATCATAGCAATCTTGATAATACTATATATTTCAACATTCGATATATTACGTTAGAATATATTAAAGATTTTTCATTTATTTTAGTATATCATATATATATAAAATATGTATTTAAATCCGTTAAAAATATATTTCTAATATAAATGTTCACACATATTCTCACCTTTAAAATAAAGTTAATGGTGCATGTACCACAGCAATAATTCAGTCATTTCTTCATCTTCATCATTGATCTCCTTTGAAAAAAGAAAAATGAAATTGAATTAGCGATAAATACGAAAATGTTATATTATATGTACAAGTCGTATCTCGATTAATTAGTCAGTACACGTTGAGAATAATTATAGAATCATTAGAATCATCAATAAAATATATCATCATAACAATCAAACTCACAAGAGAAATATCACCAAGAATAAAAGGCATAGAAAGGCATTAATAATACATTACATACCTTAGACATATAAGGCAGTTATTTCACGTAGTAACGTCAAACATGGAAAATGTCCTCCCAAGACATCAGACTGTAAATTGCAAGATAATTATAATATATATATAGAATATATTTATCAATATCGATAGAATTTTCCAAGCAACATCAGTACGTTGGGATTATTTTTCTCCTATCATAGATCTTCAGAATGAGTAAGGCTCATCATAAAATGCAGATCTTATTAAAGAGGGAAGCGAAAATTACAACAATCCAAAATATATAAAAAAGAAATCCCAATA